TGGTATATTCCTTATAATGTCAACCTCCTATCAATAACCCCCCCCCCCCCCCTTGATTGATTTGTCGCCCGGGGTAGGGGGGATTGATTATTGAGGGGGGTCGTCGTCGTAGTACAGTAGTACAGTATCACAATAATTAGTACAGTAGTACAATAGTACAGTATTATAGTACTACAATATAATGATAATAGCACAATAGTACAAAAGTACAGTATTGATACAATAGTACAGTAGTAGAGTAGTACAATACGAGTATTGTAGTAATATTTAGAGTAAGTAGTAATTAATACAGTAGTAGTTGCACGTTATCGCGGCCGAGCAGCTTGGGCTCTCGGCAATTATCGCCCTCTTGCACTCTCACGCAGCCGCTCCTCTCGTCTCTAGATACGTATCCAGTATTGTTTCTTATTTTTTTGTTTATTTGTAATTATGAATTAAACTACATCTCTCTTAGAACTTGTCTAATTACACTCAATCCCCCAAGGCAATGGCCTCCTTGACGACAACCTCTGTGCCGGCTCTCTCTGAGATTGCAGAGGAGGGGCCTCTGTAAAATAAGTAATAAATAAACTCTAATTTCGGAATCCCCTGCAGGCGGGCTCTCTGGCCCCGGCCGAGGATCTCTCGATGATGGGAGACGAGGAGGGTTCAGTGGGTTAAGGGGTGGTGCTCTGGTTTTGGGGGGTTTCTCTTGCCCTGCAGGGCGGCTCTCCAGCAGCGGAGCCCGGCTCTGTTGCCGGAGTTCCTCTCGCGGACGCGGACCAGGCAGCTCTGGGAGAGCTTTTGGACTCTAAGTAAATGGGCTTTAGTATAATAAATCTCGAGGGTTTAAAGGGTTTTTCCCTGCAGGCTCTGGCCGGCCCTGCTCTCGGCGGAGGTGGCGGAGGCTCTGGCCCGGGGAACCCTCTCCCGCATGGCTCTGGACCGCCGGGCCCACCGGCACCCGGCTCTCCTCTCGGGGATGCAACTTGTCTGGAATTCTCTTCATTCCTTAATTAGTTATAGGGTTTAGGGGTTTAGGATATTGCTTGTATTCTCTCAACCTCAGGGATGGGGCTCTGATCCGCCGGTGCTTGGCTACTACACCGGAGCCCGTGTGGTGGGCCTCTCTCTGCTGGTGGTGCGCCTAGACCGTAATTACACCTTAATTAATTAAACCCGATTAAACCCTAATTAATGGTATTGAAACCTAAACCCCAAACCCTAAACCCAAACTCTCAGGAATATCTCTTCGATCCTGGTCACGTACCATCGCTCTGCCGATAGTCTCGGCGCTCTCCGCCGCAGCGGAGGACACACGCGTCTGACTCTGAGAAGGCCCTCTTCTTTCTTTAAGTATTTTCTGGGGGGGTTCGCTTTGTTTCTTAATGGGGGTTGAGTTTATTTAGTGATTCAGTATAGAATTAAGGGACTGTAAATCAGGTGGTTGGACGCCGAGCTCTCGCGCATGCACTCTGAGCCGCACCACACGGCGAACTCTTGGCAGGCGGTTTGTGTCTTCTCTAGATTTCGCAGCTTCTTTTCGTTTTCGTTGTGAATTAACAAAGATAGTAATTACTAGGGTTTAGGGTTTATTTATTAATTAATTATTCATTAATTAAGTTCTAATTACTAGTTCCCAAATCCTCTCAGGCATCATGGGAGCTTTGGGTGCAACTCTGGAGTGCATCTGGAAGCTCCTCCACGAACTCTCGGACGACTCTTAATTACAATGGAATTAACCCGAAACCCTTAATTAAACCCTAAACCCTAACCTTAGTTACTTACTAATCAAACCCTAAAGCCACTCCCAGGAGATGGCGCCAACTCCGGCGCACGTGAGCGAGATTCTCTCCTCTGTGAAATGGCTCTGGGAGGAGTTTCTCGACTTGAAATAATTAATTAATAAACCCCTAAGTAAGCCCTAAAACCCCACTTGAGCCCTGAACCCATAATCAATTAACCCTTAAACCCCTAAACTCTAAACCCTAAGTAACGAATACCCTGGAGGTCCGGGCTCTGCTCTCCAATCTCCGATGCACCGGAGTTTGGGGGTGTGCTTGGATTGTGGTTTGCGAACCAAAGCTCTATCGTCATTGACCGCTGCCGCTACCTTGCTGAGTTTCTTGGTTGTTTAATTAACGTATTTCTTTCCGTAATTAGTTATATCTCAATAATGTTATGACAATGGGTTGTTTTAATTCTTAATTGAACATGGCAGGTTCGCTTGCTATCGGCAGTTCAGCTGGCCTCTCATGCTTCGACGAGCCTCTCGGTTTAGTTAATAAAGGGTTCAGGGCTTAGTTAGGGGTTGTTAATTAAATAGTTAATTGAGGTTTGGGGGAAGATGGCTTATGTTTTGCTGCAGGTGTCCTTCCCTCTCTGGTTGGAACAACAAGCCCTCTCGGTGACCTGCTTCTCTGCCGACCGATGGGACCCTCTGCTGTGATCACCAACTTTTTTTTGCAACCTCTAGTTAAAGCCTGAAACCCTGAACCACAAACACCCACCCTAAACCCTAAACCCTAAATTAATTCTCATCCGAGGCCTAGAGGAACCTCTCAGGGGGAAGATCTCTTTGATGCTCGGTTGTTTTAATTAATTAATTAAGCCTTTCAAAAACCCTATGTAATTAAACAACACCCCTAAACCCTAAAGGCCCTAAAGCCTAAAACCGGAAAACCCACAACCCCTGATTAATTAAACCTTGAACCCTTAATTAAACCCTAAATAACTAAACTCTGAAACCTCTAACTTGAAACCCCAAACCCTGAAATAAGCCCTCTGAAACCCTAAACCCCAAACTCTAAACTTACCCAAACCCTCAAACCCTAAACCCCAAACTCTATCCGAGGCATAGGGGTGGAGCCTCTATGCCTTCATTCTGGCGACGCTCGGCTCTGGTTTTAGGGTTTCGGGGTTTAGGGGTCAAGGGGTTCCAGGGTTTGGGGCGGTTTTAGGGTTTCGGGGTGTAGGGTGAAGGGGTTCCAGGGTTTGGGGTTCGTTGGGGGTATTCCTTAATTAAACCCTATGTACCTAATTAATTAAGGCTTAACTAAACCCTTCTTAAGTAATTAAACCAAAAACTTCAACACCCTAATTAACCCCAAACCTTAAACCGTGGCCCTACACACAAACTGGGCCGTACACCTTAATTCAACCCTAAACTCCCCAAACCCTCTTAATTAATTCATGCTCCGAGGAGCTCTTTGCTTTGGCTCTCGAGCAGCACTCTACGCTGCTCGACGATAATAATCATTATTATATTATATTATATTATATTATATTATATTATATTATATGATATGATATGATATTATATTATATTATATTATATTATATTATATTATATTATATTATATTAATTATATTATATTATATTATTTATTTATATATATATATATATATATATATATATCATGATTTCATGTATACTACTTAATTATACACATATGTTATATATGTATATGTATTATATATATATATATATATGTATATGTATGTATATATATATATATATATATTTATGTATATGTATATGTATATGTATATGTATATGTATATGTATTTACATATATGTATATATATATATGTGTGTACATATTCATATATATATATATACATATCTATCTATCTATCTATATATATATATATATAATGTTATACATATGCCCATCCCAGGCTTTGATGAGCCGGGCTCTTCAAGATCGAGAGCTCGCAGAAGCCGGCTTTTTTTAAAGTAACCCTAATTAAACCCTAAACGCTAAACCCTAAACCCTTACCTTAACTTCGAGCCTAAACCCTAGACTCTAAAACCTTAACACCTGAACTCTCAGGCAACCCAAAACCCTACTAAACCCCCGAAACCCTAAACCCTAACCCTTAAACCCTAAACCCTTACAGGCCTTAATTACCTTTACCTTCGAGCCTAAACCCTAGACTCTAGAACCCTAAAACCTCAACTCTCCAAAAAAGCCCGCTCTCTGCTGGAGCATCTCTCTGGAGCTGTTCAGCCGACTCTCAGCTTGGCTCTGCAAAAGAACTCACTCTTTTGTGCTTTGGGGTTTAGGGTTTATGTACGGTTTAATTAGTTTAGTTTCTAGCGCAAACACACACAAACACGCATGCTCTCTCTCTCTCGCTGTCTATGTTTCTCTCTCTCTCTCTCTCTCTTTGTTTTTAAAGTTGTGTTTTGCGGAGAACAGTCAGCCCGGGAGCTCTTTTGCTCTCAGCAACTTGGCCTCTTGCTTGGAAACATGGAGACTGTCTCTCCCACCGTCTCTGTGAACCAGTGCCTCCGTTCGCATTTCGCTTTGGCTCTTGTGTCTCTTTCAATAATCTTTTCTTTTTATTGCCGGACTCAGGTACGTTTCTCTTCTCTGCATCAGCAGATGCTTCTTGGAGCACGAGGAAGACGTCGCCTCTCTGATTGGAGAACTCTTGGGCCTGCCTCTGCATGATTGCTCTTGGTGCCTTGAGGACGGCATGAGGTTCTCTCCGGAGGTCTCTTGTTTCAGCTCTGAGAGGTGGACTCTTCAGGGATGGCTGATCCGACGCAGAGATCTCTCTGTTGGAGACCTTCTCTTCTTGGAGGGCCGTCGCTCTTGGCGGGTGCTGACCCAGGAGGATCTCGATGATCTGGGGAACTCTCTGCCTGGCAGTCAAACACACTCTGAAGCTTCTGAGCATGATGAGCACCACTCTGATCATGATGATTGGGAGATGTTAGTTCCTCTCCCTGCCTCGCCCGAAGCGGCCTGAACTGAACTCTCTCTCGCTTTCAGCAGAAACAGCCGGCTGCTCGCAGGGTCTCTGTCGCATGTTTGTTGAGCGGCCACTCTGAACAAGTCTTTTGAATAGCCAAGAGCTTCTCTTGTGCATTCGCCGCAAGACTCTTTTGAGCAGCCACGCTGAAGAAGGCAGAACTGAAGCAGTGTTCTCTTTTCAACCTTAGCAGAAGCTCGTATCAGCCCCGCTCTGACCGTGTAAGTCCTTTAGAAAGGCATCGCCTCTCCATTGCAATGGCAATGGAGATCTCTTCGGAGGAGGAAGCGGCACCGGATGCCGTCGGCTCTTCCCTCGGTCTTGCAGGAGCTGTCGTTGCCTCTGAGTCCAGCTCTTCCAGCAGACAAGGCACGTTTGGTAAAGTGTCAGCAATGAACAATGATCCTGCTCTCCTTTCCCTGCTCCTTTGAAAGCCGAAGCTTTCGCAAGCAAGGACATGAAGGCATAGTTTCTGAGGCCCTTTAAATCTGCTGTTTCGGAGTCCCGTGGCTTTGGAAGCTAAAGCTTTCCCAATGCAGGGCTTGGCTTCTAAAGCTTGCTTTCCTTTTGAATCCAAGGCTTTCCCAATGCAGGGCTTGGCTTCTAAAGCTTGCTGTCCTTTTCCAGGCCTTTAAAGGCACCACCAGCACGGCCCTCCCCGGCGGGAGTTTATAATTGAGGGGGGTTTATAATTAACGGCTTTTGTTAGTACTCCATCAGGACGGATTGATTTTTGGCTCCTAAGGAAGGCATGGTTTCTCCTCTATATCTGCGGTTTCGGAGTCCCGTGGCTTTGGAAGCTAAAGCTTTCCCAATGCAGGGCTTGTCTTCTAAAGCTTGCTTTCCTTTTGAATCCAAGGCTTTCCCAATGCAGGGCTTGGCTTCTAAAGCTTGCTTTCCTTTTAAAGCACCACCAGAACGGCCCTCCCCGGCGGGAGTTTATAATTGAGGGGGGTTTATAATTCTGCAGAACGGCTTTTGTTAGTACTCCATCAGGACGGATTGATTTTTGGCTCCGGGAATAAGGAATTTTATTAAGGAAGGCATGGTTTCTGGAGCCCTCTATATCTGCGGTTTCGGAGTCCCGTGGCTTTGGAAGCTAAAGCTTTCCCAATGCAGGGCTTTGCAGGGCTCGGCTTCTAAAGCTTGCTGTCCTTTTAAAGGCACCACCAGAACGGCCCTCCCCGGCGGGAGTTTATAATTGAGGGGGGTTTATAATTCTGCAGAACGGCTTTTGTTAGTACTCCATCAGGACGGATTGATTTTTGGCTCCGGGAATAAGGAATTTTATTAAGGAAGGCATGGTTTCTGGAGCCCTCTATATCTGCGGTTTCGGAGTCCCGTGGCTTTGGAAGCTAAAGCTTTCCCAATGCAGGGCTTGTCTTCTAAAGCTTGCTTTCCTTTTGAATCCAAGGCTTTCCCAATGCAGGGCTCGGCTTCTAAAGCTTGCTGTCCTTTTAAAGGCACCACCAGAACGGCACTCCCCGGAGGGAGTTTATAATTGAGGGGGGTTTATAATTCTGCAGAACGGCTTTTGTTAGTACTCCATCAGGATGGATTGATTTTTGGCTCCGGGAATAAGGAATTGTATTAAGGAAGGCATGGTTTCTGGAGCCCTCTATATCTGCGGTTTCGGAGTCCCGTGGCTTTGGAAGCTAAAGCTTTCCCAACGAAGGGCTTCGCTCAGTATATAGGCATACGAGGCTTCGCTCTTGCTTGCAAAGCTTGCTTTCCTCTGACTCATTCGGCATGTCATTGAATCAATGCTTTCTTTCCCTCGTCAGGCCTGCAAGCTTCTCTTCGGCGGTTCTTCCAGCCCTCTCACCCAGAAGCTCAGAAGCCAGTGCGGTTCCTTCCCGGCAAGCAGGGCGGTCGGCCCCTCTCTCGCGAGATGAAGCAGATCATCGCTCAAGTAGCTGAAAAGCAAGCTCTCGAACAGAAAGCTCTCGACGAAGCTTTGATAGCTCGAGAGAGCGAAGTGCAAAGCAAGAAGCGGTACTACGGAGGCCGCCCCAAAGGCAGGAGCTCTGGGAGAAGCGATCTCCCAGTTGCCGTGCGGGCAGCTCTCGTGCAGGAGATGGAACTCGCTGTTGCAGGCGACCGCTTCTCTGACGAAACGGAGTTCTTCAGTTACTTCGCCAAGAAGTTCGCTCTGCCGAAGAAGCGAGTCAAGACTCTGTGGCTGCAGCGGAGCTTGGTCAAGAAGACCTCTCAAAAGAACAAACTCTCACGCAAACCCCACCGCTACACTGGTGCCAAGGGCACCAAGAGGTCGCATCTCAAGCGTGCGTACAGAGGCTTTCGTCTGCCAGGAGCGGGTCGGAAGCACTCTTTCCCCGACTTGGTGGACAAGGCTCGTGAGTGGTTCAACGAGATGCGCTCTTACGGGAACCAGGTGCTTCGAGTGGACCTCTACAACTACTACATCCACCTCATGGAGATGGACAAGATACGGGTGCAGGCGGATCTCTCTGATCCGAAGCTGCTGCAGCCAAAGCGGACGCCTCTGCAGGTGAGGCTCTCGGAGCTGGACAAGCAGCTGGCCTCTCAGAAGAAGAGCGACAAAGCCAAAGAGTCTCTGAAAGGTCGTCTCGAGAAGTGGTGCTCTGCAAGGAACTTGAGGCCTCACCTCGTCACCAAGCTCACGCCTCTCCAAGAGCAGTCGAGATGCCACTTGACGTGGCAATCTTTCGACAGGGCTCTCTGGCTTGCTGCCTGCTCTGACGAGGAGACTCTGGGGAAGCACGTCTCTAAGCCAAAGCAGTTCTTGGAACACAGAGCCTCTCTCGCGATCCTTTTCGCCGATCAAATTCCGCTCTGGATAAAGGCGGGTGCCGAGAGGTCTCTCTTCGCCGAGTGGGAGCGAAAACCCACCTCTCAGGCGGCTCTCCGGCAGGACTTGGCTGCTCTGCACGACAAGCAACTCTCTGGGCAGGCGGACGTGGACTCTGGTCTGGTTGTGCAGCACCCAGACTCTTCCGGAGATGCTCAGGGTCAGAGGCAACTCCGCTCACGCCAGGACCTCTCTGCAATGTTTTACTTGGGTCGTTTCTGTTATAATTCATAACCTTATTCCTGCCGGCAGGAGCCTCTCGCGGACCGCTTCCGCCTCACTTACGAAGCCCGGCAGGTCTTGTTGAACTACAACTCTCCGGGAACGCCGCCGACTGGCCTCTGTTACAAAGGTCTCATCATCATCAGCGGGCCTCATGCCAGACTCTCGAACATCTCTCAAGACGGCAAGTGGCTCTGCGATGAGACCTTTGAGTGGAGAGGGAACCTTGTCTCTCACAAGAAGGGCACCTCTGTTGGCAGGCTCATGGAGCCATGGAGAGCTCTGCGAGCCCAGAAGCCGCACCTCTTTGAGCACGTCTCTGTGATGATGCAACCGAGCTCTAATGCCGACAGCATCATACTCTCCTGGGTGGCCCAGGAACTCTCAGAGGCGTTTCCAGCTCTGCTGGTGCAGAGGGACTGCCTGGGAGCCTCTTTCACAGAGTCTGTCTCTGGTGCCCACTTCCTCTCGCATGCACTGGTCTTTCTGTTTTTGTTTCGAGCTCTCAACTCCCAAACCCATTCTGAGGACTTCTCTCGCAGATTCAAGTCTCTGTGCCGCACCTCTATGGCGGAGAGGAGGTCTCTGGGCCAGAAGGCTCTGACAGAGAGCGGCAAATCCTCTGTCTGGGCTGCCTCTGTGGAGGACATCTGCGAGACCATCGTCTCTGCTCAGAAAGCCTGTGCCGAGGATGCCTCTGACTGGGTGCTCTCAGGGCTTCGGCGGAATGGCATGCTGGCCTACCGCCCTCTCGACGGCAAGCTCCAGCCGGCGGAGCTCTCCACGCCCTCTTTCAAGGACCTGCCGCAGGGCTCTGCAAGACTGCGAAGCGAATGGCTGGAACCACGCTTTGGCTGGGTGCAGGATGGAATCCCCTCTGAACCAGACTGGTCTCTGATTCCTGGCACGGCCGCTGCCCAGGAGCTCTTGGACTGGGACGTCGCTCACGGCGACAAGAACTCTGCATCTCTTCTCAAATCAGCATAGCTGTATGTTCTTGAATTAATTAGTCAAGTAATTTTGTCAAACGTCCCCTAACCCGATTTTCGAAGCTCTGAACAAGATTCACCATCCAGGAGGAGGACTACTTCTGTGACATGGACTCTCTGCCACCAACTCTTCGGTGGAACTGCTTCGAGAGCGGCGTTCTCAAGCTCCCGCCAGCTCTCTTGCAGAAAGCCTGGAAGAGGGAAGCTTCTCTCGCGGTGGAGGAGAAAGCGAGAATCCTCGCAAAGAAAGCTGAGAGACAGCTCGTCTCTCAAGCCAAGCGGTCTGTCTCTGAGAAGTTCAAAGAGGCGATGCGGCTCAAGCTGAAGGACATCTCTCGCCAGCAAGCTCTCGCTCTCCACGTCCCTGAAGCAGGGAAGGCGAAAGCCAAAGCGAAGCCTGCCTCTGGGAAGGCCGGCTCTCTGACGAAGGCTCTGAAGAAGGGACTCAAGAAGAGCTCTCTAAAGACAGCTGCCGCTCTGTTGGCGGGCTCTCAGAAGAAGGTCCAGGAGCTGATCTCTGCACCAGAGCCTCCGAAGACTCTGCAAGGCCCTCTCTTCGGCAAGCAGGTCCGCATCGTGGCGGAGCTCTCGCCCTCTCACCTTGTGGGCCAGGAGGGCAAGGTCTCTTCGCACCTCTCTCAGAAGCTGACTCTGCCGAGCTTTGGTCTGGCCTGTGCAACTCTGAACCTCTCGGAGAAGGATGTGATGCCTCTCTCCGAGAGCTGGACAAAGTCTCTGGAGTGGCAGCCTCTGCGGCTCTCCAGACTCTTCAAGAAGGAGGTGCTCTTGAACTGTGGTCTCTGGTGCGAAGACGACTCTTTCGTGCCGGAGCCCGTGGAGGTTACTCTTGCCAAGAAGCCGAAGATGCTCTTGGACCAGCAAATGAATGCTGCCTGGGCTCTCGTCCGCCACCACTTCGAGCAGAAAGGACCCTGCTCGTCTGTTTTGTAAGGACTCTGTCGTTGCATTTAGGACTCGTACTTAATGACTGTTTCTGACAGGAGAGAGCCTCTCGGACGTGTTCTTCGTGGACGCCTTCCTCTCCAGCTTTCTCTTGCAACACGAGAAAAAGGAGTACCTGATCGCTCACCTACAGACGCAATGGCAGGAGCACAACCTCCTCTTCATTCCGATCTACACACGGAAGCCAGACCACTGGACGCTGCTCGTCCTCCAGAAGGGCTCTGAGGGCGAACCGCCCAAAGCTCTCCTCGCCGACTCTCTGAAGAAAGACAAAGCTCCGACAGCATGTGCAAATGAGCTGAAGGGTCTCTCAGCCGACGTGGACAAGTCGCCTCTCACCGACTACCCGACGGTGACCCAGACCTCTGACGACTGCGGCTTCTTCTGTCTCGCCGTGATGGTGGAGTACCTCTCCCTCCGCCGTGGCGAAGGGCCCAAGCAGAGGGGCTCTCAGCACTCTCTAGTGGCGGATCTGAAGACCAAACTGTCGACCTTCACCTCTCAGCTGAAGGCCGAAGTCAAAAAGCTCTCGGACGAGAAGGAGGAATATCTCATGGACCAGGCCGTTCAACTCAAGAAGGCCTCTGACAAGGCGAAACTCTTGGCGAAAAAGGCCGAGGCGGAAAAGGGCGAACTCTCGGCTTTGCAGAAGGCTGCTCTCAAGGTCCTGAAGGAAGGTGCTCCACCGGATGTCTCTGATTTGGGCAAAGAAGCCCTCGTGGACATCGAGCGGATCAAGACTCTCGGAGATCCAGGGGTGTGCTCTCGCTGTCACTGGCAGAGCGGCTGTGCCTCTTGCGATGTCTTTAAGTGCACTCGCTTCCACGTGCGAGAGCTCTTGCAGAAGGCTGCTCTCAAGGTCCTGAAGGAAGGTGCTCCACCGGATGTCTCTGATTTGGGCAAAGAAGCCCTCGTGGACATCGAGCGGATCAAGACTCTCGGAGATCCAGGGGTGTGCTCTCGCTGTCACTGGCAGAGCGGCTGTGCCTCTTGCGATGTCTTTAAGTGCACTCGCTTCCACGTGCGAGAGCTCTGCCGCACTCTGGGCAAGAAGGCCCCAGCTTGGGCTCTCTGATCGCGAAATTTCTCTGCGCAAGATTGAAAATCGCAGCTGAAGCTCTGCAGTTTCTCTCTCTCTGCAGACCTCAAACCATCGCAGTAGCTGCATTTTCTCTCTCTCTCTGCAGACCTCAAGCCCTCGCAGTAGCTGCATTTTCTCTCTCTCTGCAGACCTCAAGCTCTCGCAGTAGCTGCAGTTTCTCTCTCTCTGCAGACCTCAAGCCATCGCAGTAGCTGCAGTTTCTCTCTCTCTGCAGTCCTCAAGCTCTCGCAGTAGCTGCAGTTTCTCTCTCTCTGCAGACCTCAAGCCATCGCAGTAGCTGCAGTTTCTCTCTCTCTGCAGTCCTCAAGCTCTCGCAGTAGCTGCATTTTCTCTCTCTCTGCAGACCCCAAGCCATCGCAGCAGCTGCAGTTTCTCTCTCTCTGCAGTCCTCAAGCTCTCGCAGTAGCTGCAGTTTCTCTCCTTTTCTCTCTCTCACACAACAACACACAACAAGAAGTATCTAATTTCGGGGATTTTGGGCCGGAAGGTTTTGTAATTGAGGGGGGGTTTATAATTGAGTTCCGGGGGTGGGGTTTTGTAATTGAGGGGGGATTTATAAAAAGTAGGTTAACATTATCCGAAGCCCCTCAAATCTCAAGAGAATGCCCGCTGTGAAACCCTATACAGTAGAAGCCGGAAAGTTGCAATATCATTATCATAATCCCTTTAAGGTAAATTATAGGGGATCCTGCCATTATTCCATATTCCAACTTTCTGGAGTTCCCTTTAATCACAAGCCAACTTCTGACCCCCTGCGCAGCGCTTGGCGCTGGAGAACTTCTCCATCCTCACTCCGGTGCCTCCGGCCCGGGGCTAAGAGATTCCTCCGCTGTCAGAGTTTAGGGCTCGCTGGGTGTCGGGTTTAGGGTTTCATTGGTGTTGAGTGTTTAGGGGTTTATATCTTTTAGTGCTTGGAGTTCAGAATTGTTGTAGCTGTCGCGTTCAGCCTTCAGCTTTAGCTTGTGGGTGTTAGGGTTTAAGTTATATAGGGTTTAAGTTTGGGTTTAGTTTCCAGAGCTGTAGAGAGCTCATTGTAGGAGCGAGGTTCTCAATAAACCCTAAGCCCTAAAACCCAACACCCCGAATTTCCGGGCTTCTAGGGGTTTACGGTCTTTGCGGGTGTCGGGTTTCAGGTTCCTGCTTTAGGGAAGTGGGCATTCTGCAGTTCTTCTATGGAATTTAGGGTCTATAGGGCTCACGGCTTAGCGGACCTGGAAGTTGAGCCTGAGTCTGCCCTTGCAGCTTTATGATTTGTTTAGGGTCTAGGGGTGTAGGGTTTAGGGTTTTCGTATAAGCCCCAAAGCTGTTTGGGGCTGGAGTTTCGAAGTTGCCAAAGCCACATTGAGTCTGCCCGTAAGCTGTGAACGTGGATCTGGACAAGCAAGATCATGGTGAGGCTCAGTGCAAGCGTAAAGAAACAGTTGCGTCATACTCTCAGCAAAGGGAGCACGCCTGCCACATCCCTGGTAAAGCTTCTCTAATTTAATTTCGATGCTTGACTGAACAGTTACCAAATATCCTATCACATACCCCCAATGCCCTATTCTTGTTGTTACGGCCCCTTATTTTTTGTCTTATCATAGATTCCTG